TCAGATAAAGGCCAAGATCTGTCTTATGCAGAATTACTTTACAGAATATTATACTGAGTCCAACATATCTATCTTCATTTAAGCCCATAGCAGTCCAGCTGAAAACACATACTGGCTCCATTCATATAAACCCTTCAGGACTCCATTATAGCAAAACAGGCACCTAGAGCTACACACATGTTTAATTTAGTGACAATAACAAAGGCTCTATCCAAAAACTCCACTCAAAGCATGTGAGGATAGTGAAATGCCAGCTAAGGAGGCTTTTCTGCTTGTCTAATTTCTTTTGCATATCTGTAGACCACATTTTTTTTTTTCCCACTGTGGAGCGTAAAAATAAAAACTTAAATGGTACATGATAAAAAGACATGATAAATAGGAATCTGCATTCCTATTATAGAATACTGAATTTTGATTCTTAATAGGAAAGTCATGTTGAATTACAGTAATCAAGCAATAGTTCAAACAAAAAGATCAAAAATAATTTGAATTATCAAATTATAAAGTATTGCTTCTCATAAACAAAGCTGCACATAATATTCAAACTATTATAAATTCACAATTATTAAGAGCTATTTAAAAGCATGGAAATTTTTACTTCAAAAACTTACAAAGTGTAAGAGTGTGTGATTTTCTAAAAATATGCCATGTTAAATGTATCATATTGTGGTAAACACATAACTAGATGTATCTCCATAGTTTTGTATCTTTCCAGATATTGTTGAACATCTTTATGAAAATTCCTTTGGAGATAAGTAATGTGGAAATGTTCATCATCTGATTTTCTTTCAATTCCTGCCCAATGGCTATCATGATAAACTTCTTTTTCAGAGTGTCACACTATTTATATAAGCTGATATGGAAGAAGCTCTGTTATTTTCAAGCAGATGACTATCAGTGCACTGAAAAATAGATATCAAAGCAGTCCCAATACAACTTACAATAGACCCCTGTCCACCCAGTGCTCTTCCAACTCATAGCAACCCCTAGCTTTACTGGCCACTATAAGTTTGTAAGTGGGTGGACAGGAGGGGAAGATGGTTAAAAAAAAAAGGGGGGGGGGCATCTCTTTGAAGGCCTTTTCTTCCCTCTAGTCAGAAACACTGCACACCTAACGCTCATGTTAACCACCATCTATTGCAATGACTGAAGAGTAATAACTTGCCAATTGTGCTTCCTTTTTTCACACCTCTGAGCCAATACACTTTGGATCTAATGGAATCCAATTCTGGAACCAAGTGCTCAAAATTTGTTTTTCAAAAGAATATGAATCGGTCTTCAACCGCAGGTATTTTTTTCTTTTTCATGAGTCACCTGTTTACAAACGAAATAACAGTGTATTAAAAAAAAAAAAAGACCTATTAAAGGTATGTATATATGCTTCCTCATAACTTTAGCAATATCCAGAATGAACAATGATGATTTTCCTTATAAATGGCCATTTATACAGTTAAAAAAAAAAAAAAAGATATGCTTGTATTCAAAAGCAATAAAAATGAGAAAACTTACATATGGGTTTTGATCACTGTTAAAAGGTTGTATGTTTGATTCTCTTTTTTATTTCTTTTAATGTGACATTTTATGACAATACAAAAAGGAAAAATATAATCTAAAAATATTTGCCTAATAAACTGACAGTATAAGAACTATTATATTTTTAAAATTCGCTAGAGAGCAGTTTTTGTTAGATTGACATTTAGAGGACAGGATTAGTACTTGTCTTTAAATGGGTGTTTTACAAACAAAGACTTTGTAAAATTCAAAATACGTAGTTGTTTGAGATCTATGAGCTTACCTATGGCACAGGAACATTTATATAAAAGTTCTGGTACTTATCAGATAAAAGCTCATATGAAAAGAATATAACTTACTTTATTACAGTTCTGTGTTTTCTAACACTGTAGCTACATGTGTCTATTAAGCACTTAAAATGAGGCGTGACTGAGAAAATTAATTTTTAATTTGATTTAAATATGAAGTGGTAGAAAATATTTTTTTCTACTAAATACAATTTCATTGTTTTGATAGGACATTTCACTTTAACCATTGAATATTTAGCATCCAGACTAAGATGTACTATGCTATAATTTATACTATTAAGTATAAAATACACAGTGGATTTTGAAGACTCAGTACAAAAAAAATGTAAATTATATTGTATATATATTTTTTATATTGAAAACATGGTGAAAGATACCCTTTTGGATATAGCATGTAAAATAAAGTAATAGTAAAATCAGTTTCACCCATTCTTTTCTACCTTCTTTATAATTAAAACTTTTAAAATACTATGCCAGGCTCACATTGTATTTCTATTGGACAGGAGTCATTATAATTCCTTCATAAGTTTAAGAAGGACCCCATAGGGTCCTCGCTGGTTTGGCTCAGTGGATAAAGTGTGGGTCTGCGGACTGACAGGTCTCGTATTCAATTCCAGTTAAAAGCACATGCCTAGGTTGCAAGCTCAATCCCCAGTGGGGGCATGCAGAAGGCAGCCAATCAATGATCCTCTCTCAACACTTATGTTTCTCTCTCTCCCGCTCCCACAGGAAACAAGCTAGAAACTGAATAAAGTCTCTGTAAATATATATACTTCCTTATGTTTAGAAATACCCTTCAAGGCCACTGTTGCCTGTAGCGATCTCTAGAAGAGTTTTTAGAGGAGACGAGGCACACTTCACTTTTTACTTCATGAATTTTTGAGGAATTAGCTCTTCAAAGATGTAATCACATTAATGATTTAAAAGCTCTAAGAATGAAGCCAATTAATAGCAGGAAATACAAATTACAGTCTTTTTAGCTATCTGTGGAGAAGTATCTAAAGCATTTAAAAATGATTTCCTAAACCCACACACAGGCAGTGAAATTGAGCTCTTTCATCAATGCCAACTCAATCGGTGGAGCATACAGCTAACCCACAGATTGCTTTGGGTGTAGGATATACTGTCTTTTAAAATTAGCTTTGCAGCTACCTGAGCTCATACATTTTGTGGAACTATTTCATTGTTTCTCTCAACATTATACTATTGTACATATACCAGTCATAAAAAAATCATTCAAAAAGAGAAAAATTTTAGGCAATTTTCAAAGTGGTATTTATCCTGGACATCAGAAATAAGGCCAAATTAGCAGCCAAAAGCTACAAATAGACACTTTAATGTAGGAAATACTATTGCAGTATCTATGTTGGGCAGGATCTGGTAGGATGGGAAGATGACAAACAGTGATGGGCTGGCGTGAGCAGCTGCTGGGAGGCCACATACCCTGCCTGGGCCACTGCCGGCAACTGTAATAAAAGGACTAAACATACTCATTCTATGAAGGCCCACCTGAGGGACAAACCAATCAGCACTAAGATGGTAGTTTCAGGCATAGGCTTAGCATCTCACTGAGAAGCTGTAACAGGAGACAAGCAATAAAAATAGGTAGCAAGCACTGTAATGTGAAAGACAAAGATCCAGTGTCAAAAAGATTCCCTGTCAAGACACACCTGAGTCTGTAGACACATTCATACACCAGGTAGATACGCTGATAATATTTATATCCCTTTGCAAAGCATAGTATACATGTACTAGTTATGTACAAGCACAAATGGTTTGAAATTATTTTGGGACTCATAAACAGTAAGTCACACAGAGTGACTGTTAATCAGGACCTCTGTAAGTAAGGCCCTTGGAAAAAGATACCAAAGCCCAAAATCCATGGCAGGACCATGGTATTCTGGAATGTTGGCTCAAGCACATTAAAGGTAACACACAACCACTTAAGAGAAATATGATTTTCCCCTACCCATTTTGTTAAATTACTGATCTGTGCAGATGCTGCTGGAGAGATGTGGAACAGGTAAAATTGCTTTCAGTAATATTTGATATCCAAAATAGTATCTTTGAACATGTAATCAATCTAAAAATTAATGACAGTTTTTTTTATTTTGTATTAAATCTTCAAAATCCAGATGTATTCCTGCAAATGCATCAGAACTACTTGGTCAGTATCCTGGGGAGTGAAGGCCAGGAATCTACCCTTTTAATAAGCTTTCCAGGTAATTCTTATATTCAAACATGTCTAAGAATAGTTGTGCTGATGTACCCTAGCAGGTTTGGTTCAGTGGATAGAGCGTTGGTTGGCCTGCAGATTTAAGGGTCCCAAGGTTCAATTCCAGTCAAGGGTACATACCTTGGTTGCAGGCTCCTCTTGGAGGCAACCAATCAATGTGTTTCTCTCACATCGATGTATCTCTCTGTCTTTCCCTCTGAGTCTCCCCCCCTTTTGGTGAATGGTGTGAAGCTGTATATTATTTAACTTATAATATATGTTATCATGACTGATTCTATATATTTAACATAATTTATAATTATATTACTTTATAATTACCTTATTAAAATGTAATGGAGTATAACTCTCTATACCCTGGTAGAATGCCAAATGTGGAACCAATACCCAGAGGGGTACTCAATAAGATATTATATGTATAATTTTTATATTTATTATGTTAACTGCAATTTTAATTAAACAATATAGTAACTATAAGCCTAAAAATGATCAACCTTAGTTTTAAAGGCTTAGAAAGCTAAATAATGAGATAACACAATTACTTTTCCAGAAGGATCTTCAAAAATTCCTTTACAGGCAGCTAATAAAACATCAAAATTCAATATGCATACATTTGTAATAAAAATGCTTCAGTTAGAAAAGGCCATTTCTGTTTTGAAAGACTTTCTTGGTATTAGATAAGACTATCCTCTTTACTTAGGATATGACTGTACTGCCATATAAAAAAACATTTACAAAGCAGTATCTTTGAAAAGTGAAGTGCCTTCCAATTAAGTTTCTAGAAACCACAGAAATAAAATCTGAAGTTTACAAATTTATGACCCAACTATAATTGGCCTGTATAATAAATAATAAACCTCAGGCTCAATATAAGAGACATCATCATCATCATCCAGTATAAAAACTGTGTTACCAATGCTACTGAAGAAAGCAAGACCATTTACTTGTTAGTTTTCCCATTCTGTGCAAGGCAAGGCCTCCTCTTCATCCTCCGACTCGGGGGATGCTTCTTTGATTCTCCTGAGAGCTTCATGGATGCTCCGCGTGAGAGGGTCTGTGTCAGGCAGAAGCGTGAAGGATTCTCTCAAAACTTCCTTCTGTACTTTCTTCAATTTTACCCCCTTCCTTATTTGTGCCAAGATATTATTACTATCATCTTCATCCGGAAAAGGAGGCAGAGTTCGTTGTTCAACCTTTTTCAGATGAAAACTACCACGTTTCAAGGAAGCTAACACCTCATCCATGGGTGAGCTCACTTTAGAAAATGAAAGAAAACAACTGTAGTTAGGATAACACATAAAGTCAAACTACTACAACCTCTAAAGACTGTAGGACTTGATAGCCCATGACACTGGGAACACCATCTACAAAATGGACCATGCAGTGTGACCAGAAGGTTCCAAAGCACAGGGCATCCTAATTACACTTACTAAAAAGAAATTCAAAGACTCAATTCCATGTCAGGTATTATTGGTATTCCTATTATTTCCCATGTGAGAGAAGGGAACAGATTGGGAGCTGGAAGGTGGTCTTTAGAAGTATCATGGGTGAGACTTCTGAAGGATTTCTATAATGCACCAGCCCAATCCAGAAGTGACTGGGTTATACATTTAATTTTCAAAAATTAATTTTGGTTCATTATAGTGATTATACTTTGCATTTAGTTGTTTTACAAATGAAATTCTACTTGGATTAAGGTAAAAAATATTTTACAGGATAGTATTTCAGATTAAAATATGCAAAATGTTCTATATAATATTCTATGCAAGCTAAAGCTCCTTGAAGGCCAAGATTTTCTGTTCTTTAAAAAAAAATAGTTTTAACAAAATATGACATGTAAGAAATTATTCATATTACTCCTTATTCTTCTTTGATTCTTTATATGAAGTATACCAAGATCCTCAATAAACACGTGACCAAATGTTACACTGTCCTACCAATGCCACCCTAGTGTGATAGTTCTGACCAAATGACTTAAGCTTTCCAATGTGAATACCTTTCTTGTATTTCCCAGGTTTAAAATCACTTTCTTACACAAAAGAAGCTGCCTACTATGTATTACCAAATAGATTAAGTATCACTTTAGAAGATTTATTTTAAAAAATATGCCCAACAGCTAAAGGTACACACTTGTATATAGACATAAAGGTTATGTCTATAGAAATTTGTCTATATGGGTTGGTAAGAATTCTGCCCTGCTGTGATCTTGAAAACCTATTTGCAATCCAGTAATGTCCAGAAATAAAATAATGTATTAAGCTTCGTAAGATCCTATAAAATAAAAAGTCCTTTGATTATGCCTCACTTTTTCAACAGATGAACATGAAAAGATCTCTTTAACTTACCTCTCCTTCTCTGCAAACCTTCAGCAGTCTTTTTGAGCTTCTTCCTGGCACTGACCAGCTGGCTGCTATCAAAGAGATGTGCTGAAGGGGCACTTGCAGACTTAGGGATCCTCTTCTCGTTCCCCTCCACTCTAGGCAGATCTTTCTCCAGTGTCTCTGGGATGTTGTCCTTAGCAACAGGCAGAGGTGGTGGTGGTGGGGGCGGGGGAGGAGGAGGTGGTGGTGGTGGTGGTGTTGGAGGAAGAGGTGGTGGGAGTGGATCTGTGGTAACAGAACCTGGTTCAAGGTCAATATTATTCAAAAGTGAAAGAGAAACAGTGGGGCACAGTTCCGAGGTAACACCACTGAGAGGTAATGAAGTGGCTTCAAGTTGTACTAATGAAGTATCTTCAAGTTGTATGAGGCTTTGGGCTTCTGCTGTCTGTGATGACCCAAGCTTGCCTCTTCCTTTCTGCACCTCTTCACTTTTCTCTTCTATCTGCAGTACCCCTGGCATAGAGCTGCATTGGTCCTCGCAGGGCACAGGACTGGCGGCACTTCTTGCATGAGCCAGTCGCAATCTGCTTGATTTAAATATAACTTGGCCAGGGTACCTCTAAAAAAACAGAAGTTATCATAACTGGTTAAATTATGTTAAAACAATTTATGAACAAATGGCTATTCTCTCTCTCAAGTGAAAGATGTTCTTTTGGAGCTTTTGTAATTTTCAGGGAAATTTTTTAATAAAGTTATACAGAAAACCAGAATACCAAAGTGTAGTAACTTTCAAACAGTTATCACCAAACTTTTTAAAAAAACTATTTTATTGATGTTTTACAGAGAGGAAGGCAGAGGGCTAGAGTGTTAGAAACATCGATGGAAGTGAAACATCAATCAGCTGCCTCCTGCACACCTTCTACTGGGGATGTGCCTGCAACCAAGGTACATGCCCTTGACCAGAATCAAACCTGGGACCTTTCAGTCCACAGGCTGATACTCTATCAACTGAGCTGAACCGGTTAGGGAAATCACCAAACTCTTTAACATTTGCTCATCATCAAATCCTTTATCAAGATCTTGTAATCTTTTCGACTTAAGCAACTATTCAAAATTACCACTATTAAAAAACGGTCTTTACTGGATAAAATTATGAATTTAAACAAAAAAATAATAGAAATGCAAATTACACAACATAAATGACGTAAAACATATGTATGCAGAAAGCTAAGGGATTATTTATTTTTTAAGAATATTTTTTCCATTGATCTTTTTTTTTTTTAATATATATTTTATTGATTCTTTACAGAGAGGAAGAGAGAGGGATAGAGAGATAGAAACATCGCAACAAATGTACATACCCTTGACCTGAATTGAACCTGGGACCTTTCGGTCCGCAGACTGACGCTCTATCCACTGAGCCAAAACCAGTACCGGCAATTATTGCTCTCTTACATTTATTTTCAAATACTTACAGATGAAATTTTGGGAATACTGACTGACGTAACAATTCTAATTCTATATTTTTACTGCAGTGAAACCGAGCATTAATGCATTCGCTTAACTCAAGGCTTAACACCGTTTTCACTATAATACTAATAGGACTTTATAAAAAGCTTCCAACAGTGGAAATAAGGCTCCTGAGCAATTTATCAACTAAAACCATTCAGCTTAAGCACAGTTCAAAGAAAATATTTAGCTGCTATGATGTCAGTGTCAAGCCATGGATTCACTGGTAAGAAAACTGCTGAAGCATTTCCCATGTATGCTAATCCACTCTCTAATTCTGTCACTGATCATTTCCATAGATTACTACCATACGTTGATGTGTATGGAATCAATAACAAGTTGATGCTTGAAATGGAGAGCTAGCTGTAAACTAATTACCTTATAATTAGTTTATAATTCAAGGGGAATCCAGGCTTCCTAGTGGCCATTCCTCTTATACTAGACTGAAGTGGCAGCCAAGGGTCACAGGATATTAATTCTGGAAACAACCAGAGGAAAGGTAGCCATGCAATCAAACTTAATTACTTTCTAAACAACAAAGGGAAAGCCCAGTTTTTCTCATACAAAGAAATCTTATAGTAGTAGTGTGTATGTAGCAATGAAAAACAAAACAGTGTACTTTTATTACCTGTTTAAAAGTTCGAAGTCTATCCAGCGTTCTCTGTCTTTCTTGACTAACCCAAGCACTTTTTCTTTCTTCTTCATCATGTAATTTCTCTCTCTTCTGGTAAAAAATGAATAGTAATTCAATTAGGATGTTTCCCATTTCTTTTTATCATTAATAGAAAAAAAGAATAGAGTTCTCCCAGTATGTCAGGTGGGTAACCCCCAAAATGACGCATTAAACAAAATGTTTTATGGCATGAAATACTGTTTTTAACAAATTATCATTTTAAGATTCATAATGGCAAAAATAATACTATTTTATTTTTTATTCACTCCCAATTAAAGAATTTTATTCTGTAAAATAGAATAAAATCTCTGAACTAGAAAATGTTTCATTTTTGTGGCTCTGGCTTAAACAATTTTAAGTACGATATACTTACAGCTGTTAATTCTGCTAACTCAAAACAGTGGACCTTAAATCAATAAACACTTGGTCAGTAATTTAGATATTATACATTAGGCCAACCAATATAACCAGCAGTTAGAAAAAAATAAAAGTAGTTCCAGCATTATACATAAATCATTTGCTTCACTATCATAACCTTACAGCTGGCAGTTATTTGTACAAAAATTTAAAAATTTTCTCGTCGAATCAACTAAAAGTGATCTAATTTGGCAGAATGAATATTAATTAAATGAAAAGGATTTCTAGATAGCAAATGAGTTATGAAACTTACTAGTTGTACTGTGTGATGGGTTCTGTAGTTCTCTTCACTCTGAAGGTGCTGATGGAATTTTTCAGTGTGTTTTGCAATACAAATTTCCTATAAACATATAAAACATGTTTTAATATAAGTGGAACTTAAAGATTTAAACAACATATCATGGTTTACGTGATAAGTCACATTTTAACATATAACTGCATGGCAAAATATCAAATAAACCACCTCTGGTTTCTCATTTGTATACTGAAGCAGCATAAACCAAATAATCAGGATCTTAAAAAAGAGATTTCTATCCAACTATTAAAACTTCTCTAGCATTCTTGATTTCCCTTTTTTGGAAATTGGGCAAGATAGAGTGGAAGAAGGTGTTCTTATGTAGTCTCAAAGGTCTCTTTCAGCTCTAAAGTCTGTGGCCAGAATATTCTGTCTTATTGTACTCCTTAAACTGTCTGGGCAAAAAGGATATACAACTCCTGGCTTAAAGTCTGTATTCTTAAACTCTCTCTGATGAATTAAAGGACATGATTATGCCCAGACTGCTTTGAACCATATTATAAAATCTTAAACTTCTGGCCACAGACTTTAGAGCTAAGAGAGACATTAAAGACTAGAAAGTCAGAATTACGCTCTTTCTGAAATTATGCTCTCGTGAAAACAAAAAGGTAACAATGAAATATATGTGCTTCTTTACAAAATAATACACTGTCATTTGGCAATTTTAGTGACGCCACGCTAAATCTTCACTTTCCCTCTTTCCTTTTGGAAAGCCCTCCAGATGAAAGGGTTCCATTAGTTCCCAACACTCTAGGAGCAATGCCAAAGACTAGTCTTCTAATCGGAGACAGGCATCTAAGGAATGACATTTTAAGCCAGTAAACTATTTGTAAAGCAACTGTTGATATTATATTCTCCCCCCACACTCGGATAAATCTCTTGCCTAACAAGTATTGACCATGAAATGATCTTGTCCAGGGCAGTCTCCCTGGGGGGAAAAGGCAGTCCCATACAGTGACAGGATGCGGTGGTATACTGACTCAGGCTTCTCAGTCACACAGACCTCAAATAGAATCCTACCTTGCCCCTTACTAAGTACTTCTCCTTGGGTCATTTATTTAACCTTGGTTCCCTTGGTTTTAAAATGAGAATACGGGTCCACAATCTCTTATCTAGAACAAAGGTCAGATATGTTTTGAAATTATTTTTTTTTCAGATTTTAAAAAGGTGATAGGTTACATATCTCATATTACCAAGGAACTCCAGCAGGATTCTGAAGCAGCATCCCATAATAAGTTACTTCATTTTAAAAGATGAACAAGTATTAGTGACAAACTAGCTTAGAATTATTAACTATAGATTAAGGATTAGGTAATAAAAGCAAATTTTAAAATTAAGGCTGAATGTCGTAAATACATAACTTCTTATACCTTTTTATTTCTGAGGTAGGCTTTCTTGGCTGAAACCCGCCCACGTCTTGCTTCCAGCTGGCGTGCTTTCTGCTGAAGTTTATGCAGCTCTTCCCTCTGTAAATGCACTGATGTTGCCATCTCTTCCTTCTCCAGCATTGCCTCCATGCTCTCGTAAGTGTCATAGTACACCACTTCATCTCTCTTTTCTGGTACAGAACAGCGACAGAGATACGGTTAAGAGTGTAAACTGCAGACAGAACAGGGTTCTTATCTACTTACTGGCTCTGTAACCTCAGGCAAAGCCATTATCTATAGATATAAAAGCCTAAGCAACCATTACAACCAGCTAGTAGCTATAATGCACACTGACCACCAGGGGGCAGACATTCAACGCAGGAGCTGCCCCCTGGTTGTCAATAGGCTCCCACAACCCCTCCCCTTTGCTGAATTTGTGCACTGGGTCTCTAGTCTCTTATAAAGCATTCAATTTTTTGTTGACTTATGTGGTTAATTGTCACCATACCTGATATAAGTCTTTTGATGCTTTCTAATTGTGCTGTCAACAATAACTCTTCACACTTCAAGATTTCAAACTGTACTTCATACAACTGAAGTTGCAGATCATAATAATCAGCTTCTAACTGATCCAATCGGGCTATGGCTTCTGTACCACCCTGCAAACTCTGCATCTGTGTTGAAAATAAAAATATTTCTAGTTGGTGGGGACAAGAAAAAAAAGTCATGTTGTAAGTTCTAATTAGAAATAAAGACTAATCAGACAGGATAAATCCATAAAGCAATTATTCTAAGAAACTTGTGGGCAAGAATGAAGATTTTTAAAAGACATAAAAACAGTAATAATTAAAACATATGATTTCATAAATAACTAGGCAAACACTGTAAAAGTAAGGTTTAAAAAGTTTGTTACAGCTCATCTATATTTATGTTAATAACACATTATTCTAATTATTTTGACATAAATATTAATGGCATCTCAAAAAGTGGTTGATAGTTATGCAGTTATCCTGTTCACATAAGATATATGAATACCATTAGGCCATACTTGATAGACACAACAGAGGGGTAAAAGTCTGCTTAAGAGCACACATCAGGGCTTTATTTTGCTCCAAGGTCACAGCCTGGTTGGCTTCTAGGATCTGCTGACTGGAGAAGGTGGTGAGTGGATGTGAGTTAGAGGGAAATGATAACTTCTTTCCATAGAAATCCTTGCAATCTATTGATAATGATCATTATTAGTATCTAAGTAAACACACTCAGGGTACTACAGTGAACCTAAGGGATTCAGAAATTTCTGTGCATGTCTCATGAAGTAACTGGGTGGTCTTGAATGAGATTTGTTTGTTGGTTGTTTTTTAGTCCTGAAGTGAGAGGGGAGATAATTTCCTGGGAATCAGAAGAAAATCACCATGAGGAAAAGTATAAGTTAGATAATGGTTCCATATCTCTCTACTATTTGGCTCTTTGGAAAAAGACAGGTGCAAGAAACTTTTCATGAGGCTGTAATGTGGGAATAGTTTTTTGGTATGAGAGAGTTGAGTATTCTTCCAAAAACATTTCTTCTAAGAACATGGCACCACTCTTTGGCAGTTTACGGGGTTCAAGCCCAGAAGTTCCAGGAGACTCCTGGTCCAGGTATCAATTTGCTGGGAACTAGCAGCACTGCGAGGAGCCCCAGGGCTCACGTGGCATGCTAAGGAATGACTGACAAATGAAGTGGGGGGAGAACAAAGAGGAAAATTAGATAAATGCTTATGAGCTCAAGTGAGTCATCACCGGGGCTTCCAGAAGCCCAGGAACACACTTAATGGAAAGTCCTGGGCAGCCATGCCAGCAGACAGTGAGTTCTCATTGCTACAAAATAACCCCTTCTGGCTGGTGAGGTTGGTAAAACATGTTAGCACATAAAAAAAAGAGTGTTTTTAAACAAAATTCCAGCCTTCCTTTACATTTTAGATATCCATCCAGTTCAATTCTTTTAATAAAAATTTTGAAATTCAAAACAGTTAAGCGGGGGTCTAAATGTGAAACAGTATATATTTAAAAATAACCAGATGAATTAAATACAGTGCTATTTAATTTAATAAACATTTTAGAAATAGTTAATAAGTTATCTAAGTTGTAAGTCAGTGATTCTGCTATACTAAGTAATATGAGTAACAAACAATAAATATAAAACAAACCCAAAATGGGTTTAATTATAGTTTCACATATGAGGGGGAATGTTGACGAAATGAAATCCTGCTGCTTTTGTCCTAAGTCATAAAAGAAGCAGCTAGAAGTGATTTCTTTGCTAAGACTCCCCATCTCACTTTAAATTATAAACCCTTTACAGACTATCTTAGGAGTCTTGTCCAGTCTTGGAGACCACAGTCCCAGGATGCATCTTCCTTTGTTATCTGCACCAACACTGTCTGTGAGCCCAGCATTCAGACAGATAGTGTGTGATTTTAGAAGGCTTTAATGCTCTAAGTGGGGAATTATAGTAAGTAAAACCTCAGTGTGAATCACTGAAGGTATCATTAAAAACCTTCATCTATGATCAGTTCTGCAGTGATGGTCCAGTGCAGGCTGTTCCATCTTTACTACCTCTAGTTCTCACCAGCCAGAAGTGACCATTTATCTGCCACTTTTATAACATGTGCTAATTACCAGACTCCTGTCCTATACTTTGGCTAAGAAAGGAAGTTCAAAGTCCCCTGTTGACATACCTGCACATTGTCAGCTGCCTCAACTGCAAGTAGAACAATACTCCGATTCCTGCCCAGGGACCAAATACCTTAAAAGCATTTGAGATGACTAATGATACCCGAGTACAGCAAATAGCAAAGAAAGGAAGGGTGTTCTTTTACAGCAAGTGATCTCACCCCCAATTTTCTGGCTTAGTGAGTTCTATTCAGAACAAGGGAGTCCAGACGTGTATTTGGCATGGCTGGGTTCAAAAGAAGGACAAAACCTCATAAGAGACAGAAGCACAAGACAAGAAATCTGTTAAGTACCAAACTCTAAGAAAACAAACAACAGGGCGGTGATGGGTCTCAGGAAAAGTTAAAGAGATGTAGAGAAGACTTTCATGAGATAAGATAATGAAAAGGGGGTTAAAGACAAGCCAGGGAAATTTTGAGAGCACAAAATGGTACTGTGAGGTTTATCTATACTTCAACATGGTGGAGAAATTCTCAGTAAAAGGTATGGAGAGGTATGCAGAGGCTACACTGCTCCAAATCTCTTCCCTGTTAACGGCTGAAATTTCCAGACTGACTTTTTTCCTGGTGACTAATTCAGCTGACAGCCACAGAATTGAGGGAATGGGAATCCAGAATGGAAGGAGCACTAACTGTGAGCAATGGGGCCACGCAGTGAAGGAAGGTGCCACAGATGGAATCGAGGGGGGGTGGGGGGGACAGTGCTTCCCCTGACAAGAAGGAAGCCTAAAGAGCAGGTTAAGTGTTCAAGAAAAAAAGACAGTCAGTACCAATGAAAAAACTGTTCAACTTTCACCCTTCTAAATACACTTTTGAAATCAAGACCCCAAACCAAACTGTGACTTCCTAAGGTAGCCTAGGTAGTACCAGCAGCATGCGAACGAGCCCGATTATACAGATTCCTACAGGGATGGTCTTTCTACTTGGACAAAAGAAGGGAGCACCATTCCAATAAATATAGAAAAGGGAACAAAGAAAAATGTTTCTGCAGTAAATCTAGCAAGGAAATGAAGTACAGAAAGTATTAGTCGACATCCATATATCCACGTAATTACATCATACACTATTGACCCCACAGATAATCACCCCCCCTTACACAATGATATAGTAGTTTTCATGTGTACCTATTTTACTGACTGTACTATATCTTAAAAACAAATGTAAAGTCATTTGCATAACAAATGCCGGCCCTGTCCTGCCTTTTACCCTACTGTGCTAGAAAACCGTACAATATGTGAAGGGCTGTGAAAAACAGTATCTAGGGGTTGAGCCAATACAGTAGCCAACAAATACTCACTGAGCACTCACCACTATATGAGTTACAGAGAAGATGGCAGTAAACAAGAAATGAAGCAAGGGTTCAAAGAGTAGTCATAAAAACAATGCACAGCATAAGAGAAATAACATTAAAGGCAAGCTCGACAAGCATTCAATCAAGACTAGCCCTTTGATGTGGAAAAGATGAAAAGAACATGAGACTTATAACTAGGCCAACCTGGGGTTCCACTATAACAGCTGCAGGAATAGGGAAGATACATACAAAGTGATAACCGGTTTGGCTCAGTGGATAGAGCATCGATCGGCCTGCGGACTGAAAGGTCCCAGATTCGATTCCGGTCTAGGGCATGTACTTTGGTTGTGGGCACGTCCCCAGTAGATGTGCAGGAGGCAGTTGATCGATGTTTCTCCCTCATTGATGTTTCTAACTCTCTAGCCCTCTCACTTCCTCTCTGTAAAAAATCAATATATTTTTAAAAATTCCACACTTCAGAAATATTTTAAAATTGGAAATATCCATAAATTATTTGATGTCAAAACCTAATCTCACAATCTATTAGTAGGAAAATATGATCTGACTTGATGTGAATCCCTATTTATTCCATTTAACATAAATATCTACATGTTTCATTACTGAAATGCTAACATTGGTCCAGTAGTTACATACCTTCAACTGGCTTTCTAAAATCTAAAACACTGAGAATTCTGAAACATATCTGGTCTTGGGGTTTCAGATAATGACTTATGGGCTTATAGCGCCAAGGATTATGATTGGGAATTGAGGTAATATACATAAAGCACTAAGGACAGAGCCTGAAATATTTAAAACTTTTTTGTAACACTATCAAAATATAACTTAGATAGTAAAAATAGAATTTCAAATTAAGTAACATTAGAGTTTTAGAGTGGAACCTAGCTTTCTGTACTTAGAGACTGAAATGTCTACTGTACAGATATGATGAAACAGACTCTATCTCCTTACTGATAAACAAATTAAAAACACAAAACCAGCCTCTCTGCCTCATGTTCCTTGAGGTTGAAACTTTTTGGAAAGGCCCATAAGAAAAACAAGTAAACATCTTAAACATGGGAATTACATTTTCACCACTTCTGTATTCCCTTCCATGATACATGCACAGTTAACTAACACAGATCACAATAATAATATCTAATGTTTATTTTTGGGTTCTTACTCTATGCCAGGCACATTGCTAAATGATTTATATGCATGAACTCATAACTCTCCTAGAAGGTATATATTGTTTTTATTTTATAGAGAAGTTAAGTAATTCACTCAAGGTGGGATCTGTAACTCTGTCCAATTTAGCAGCCACAAGCCATATGTGGCTACTTAAATAATTTAAAATAAAAAATTCTGCTCCTCTGTCATATATGCAACATTTCAGGAGCTTAATACAAATATGGCTAGTAGCTAAGCTTATGGGAAAGTGTAGATGTAGGGCATTTCCATCACTGAAGGAAGTTTTGCTGAAGTTTTCTGTCTATATTATAAGTTCATGCTCACTATAGTATAAGTGCTCAATAATCTCTATATATAAAAAGCCAGGGACCGGAATGCCGAAATGACCAGTTGCTATGACACCCACTGTGGCTGGCCAACCAGCCCAATTGGGGGTGGGACCGGCCGGCCAATCACCTGTGCCCCTCCTCCATTGCCCAGCCCCCATCGGGGTGGGCCAACTGGACCCTCCCCACCCACGTGCATGAATTTGTGCACTGGTCCTCTAGTTAATTACTAGTGACTTAAATAAACTGACATAGAGGGCTATAACCTTAATTAATCATAATTTAGCCATATGTTTTTAGGAGAAAGACAAAATAATGAAATAAAAGGAACTAGCCTCGGGATTGGTATATATAATCAGCTCAATATTCTAGAAAGTTGCCGAAACCGGTTTGGCTCAGTGGTAGAGCATCCATCTGCGGACTGAAAGGTCCCGGGTTCGATTCCGGTCAAGGGCATGTACGTTGGTTGCGGGCACATCCCCGGTGGGGGGTGTGCAGGAGGCGGCTGGTTGATGTTTCTCTCTCATCGACATTTCTGGCTATCTCTCTCCCTTCCTCTATGTAAGAAATGAATAAAATATATTAAAGATGGAAGATATGTTTAAAAAAAATTAAAAAAATATTCTAGAAGTTTATGCATATTCATAGAGATGACCTCAAAGAATCAGTTTTAAAAATATGAATGGGAATGGTTAAAATCCTCTGCCAAGACAAGAAAGCACATCAGTGTATTTTTAGAACTTTCAACTACAAGGATTGGAATCCCAAGGTTTTCTGGTTAATTCCCTATTACCAAGAGAATATGGTCAACAGAAGGTAACAATCCACAAATTAATTGATATGTGTGATTTGTTTCATGATGGCATCTTAACTTTAGTATCTATTTCAATTAATAACTATAAAGAGAATTCCTTATTTCATTAATATCCATTATTTTAATGATACTTCTTAAATACATCCTATTCCTAAACCTGTGTGATTATATGTAGCTTCACCTTGTTCAGTGGTTTAAAATGTATCTGATGTGATCTGTAAGTAATAATATTTGAAAGTAAAGATGTATCTGGATAGACTGCGCTATTGTTTTAAAATCTGGATTGATGGAGAATATACTTTTGAAAGTGTAGAATAAAATAGTCACAACTAATTGAACTCACCCTTTCAAAAGTATCGGACCAAAAGGGCAATGATATTTTCAAGAGTTTTTGATGGAAAAATTTGAACACCAGCAGAGAGAGGCTCAGATACAGATGAACTGGGAACCCACTAAATTTGTGTGCAAAGCTGTGCATATGCGTATTTCTGAGTGCATGATTCCTTGCTTTCCTATAATTAAAGGGACAAATTGCCTGTGACCTAAAGAGGGTAAGAATGGCTATAATCAAGATTCAGAAACAGTTAAAAAAAGAGAGAGAGTAAAAGGCATCATACTTATTCTGAATACTAAAGAAAATTTTAAATTTTAATAGAATTTTGCTTGCCCAGATGACATTTAATATTTCAGTGTTAATTTAAAAATCTTGTTTCAAGTTCAGCATTATATTCATGTCAAATATTACTAAATAATTTTCAATTTAATTCCTATTTTTAAAGTGTTTTGTCACATCAGGAAGAAGTCTTTTGTCTTCGAAATAACCTAAGGAAACACAACATAGCAACCTTTTTAAAAAGAACAAAAGTCTCCCCATCATTTAAATCACAGGGTAATACTCTATCACAAGGTCTTCACTGGCATTTGTTTGGGATGGGCTTAATAACTGACATTTGTACTGTTTCTCATGAGTAATGTGGTCACCTTAAATTAACGCTAATAAAACTGTATAGTAAATCATCACAGACGCACATAAAAAGCAGAATACGTATATTATATACACACAACAATCATAAACCTGGCGAGAATGACTAACTGGCAGTTTTACCAAAACCTTTGAAGATTCAAACACACTACAGAATGTTAAAAAAACAGACTGTTAAGGTAACAGGATGGCCCCAAGGAAAATGACCCCACAGATAATCATATCCCAGATTCTCAGGGCCCAATGTAGTTTTCTCTATCACCCTAGACCAATTCCGGTAAGAATAAATGTTCCTGCAATAGCAAGTACTGCAATCAGAAACCTTACTCTCAACAGCTCTTTTAGGCACCTTAAAACAAACACAACAAAAAAGTGCTGATGAATGCTACAACATGGATGAACCTTGAAAACATGCTAAATAAAACAACCACATATTTTATGATTCCATTTACATGTCCAGAATAGAAAATTTAGAGAGACAGAAAGTAGATTAGTTATTGTCTTGGTCTGGAGGAGGGTGGGAGAGGAGATGAATGACTACTTGCCGAAACCGGTTTGGCTCAGTGATAAGAGCGTAGGTCTGTGGACTGAAAGGTCCCAGGTTCGATTCCGGTCAGGGGCATGTACATTGGTTGCGGGCACATCCCCGGTAAAAGGTGTGCAGGAGACAGCTGGTCGATGGTTCTCTCTCATCGACGTTTCTAGCTCTCTCTCTCCCTTCCTCTCTGTAAAAAATCAATAAATTAAAAAAAAAAAAAAAAAAAGAATGACTACTAATGAACACAGGTTTATTTTGGGGGTTATGAAAATATTCTACAGTTGATTGTATTATGTCTCAAAATATGATTTAAAAATCATTTTGAGCTACAAGGTACTACAAATCTAATGATGAAGCAAATAATTTTATTCTTATCTAATCCTTCTGAAGTATAATTCCTCTCTTAAAATAGCTAATATTAAACTGAGGAAACATTTTTGTTGGGCAGAATCCTAATAAGCAGAAAATGGAGGAAAAGGAAAAGGAAGAGTTAAAGATGATCCTAAGGTTTTGGGCCTGGGGTGTCTTAAAGAATCATGCGCCCTTAACAGAAAGGAGAGATTTGAGGAAGACCTGTTAAATGCGGAAATGAAGGAGTTTGGTTTTAGAAATATTTCATATATGACATGTTGGCCCCAAAAAGTGATTTCATTTCCTCCCCCCAAAAATGACTTAATAATGTATGATATAATAAATTGTTAACCATCTATCTCAGTAAGGTAAAAAAAATGGATAAAGAAAAGGAAAAGCAATCCAAAATTTATTTAATGATTCGACTGTTTTTCATCTTTGATATATTTTGAGTTTTAACTCTGGGTACAATGGAAAAACTGAATAGTTGTGCCTAAAACATCAGTTACTTCCTACCATTTAGAACACCTGCTTAGATTCATCCCTAACACTAGTTTTAATCTTCATTCACTAATTAAAACTATATACTTTCCTGATTTTCAAAAATACTGTATTCCTACACCATATCATTTGCTTCTTCTAGTACTTAGAAAAATTATCAGCATACACAAATGTAGATATTTAAGTACTCTTTTATAAAAAGCTATTTGTTCTGGCTAAGTTTAATAATATAAAATATATAAAATATTTCAAAACTAATGGTTGCAATATTTTCAAGCAAGATTTGGGCATCAATGGTATATCCAGTGCTGTTTTGGACCCTACAAGGAACACTAAAACCATTGATAAAAAGGATGAGAAAAAATATAATTTTTAAAAGTTCATTTTAGGTAGGTTTTAAGAAACCCTTTTCAAGGATTTCTCTAGCTTTTTTTCCTTTCTTTTTTGTATCCATGAAGAGAAAATTGAAGCCCAATTAAGAAAATTGGACCTCTACTAATCTTATTTTGTTCCAGAAGAAATAAAATGAAAGTTCCAAAGGTAATGGTCTAAGCATAATATAATCAAGTCTAACAAAATGTTACTGCCTTAGGATTTTTGCTAAATTTCCTTAGGGAGTGAAACTTTCTTAATAATTGTCAGAAAGCTTTGAACATCACTAAATTTTAAAGAAAGCAAAGGAATTCTAACGTAGACCTCCTTTTATCTGAACAGTGCACTGATGCCTGTATTTCCATTGTGATGCTGTGAAAATACCATATGTATCTATTCTATTAGTGGCACCTCAAATCATAGGCCCCATGATGAGTATTATTGTCTAATGGAGTCAGTGCAAAATTATTAGTTGACTGTAGAATAAGAAAAATGTCAGTCTTATACAAAGATAAAATTAATTCTTAAGTTGTAAAAATGTTTGTATCTTTCCGTGTTTTTGTTACCTCTTCTTTTAGTGCATGTTTCCTCTGTTCCAAACAGATCTCTTTAGCTCGCATCATCTGCAGCGTCTCCTTAGAAACTGCATACTGGAGTTTCTCCATACGTTCAGCGGCTGCTGCCCAAGATGCTTTACCAAACTTCTTCTGATCTGCTCGCATTCGATCGTACACAGCTATTAATAATAATTTTTTAAAAGACATTAAGATATAAAACAACTTGATACTAAAAAATTTGAAAGACTTAGGTTTCACTAACCACCTACTCAAAGATAAACACCCAAATCTTACCCCCATGGTAAATTACTTATTAATGGCTCTAAAATATTATTCAACAATATCTTAGATTCTAATATCTTCAATAAAAATTTTAAATATTTTCCTCAGAAATAACCTTATGAAAATGAAACCAAGTTGTCAGATTAACTTTAAAAATGCTCTTTTACATGTCCAGTGTCATTACATTTCAAAGTTTCTATATAAACTTTATTCTGTGAAGGTTTATACATTTTTCCTGGTAATGTTAGTTGAAATACTCAAGATTATTTAAAATTATTTAAATCCTACTAAAATTCACTTCTTTGGTTGACCTTATTTCCTGTGACCTTGAGAAAGTGATTTGTTAATTCTAAGAGTTTAAAAAATAGATTCCAGCCGAAACCGGTTTGGCTCAGTGGTAGTGTCAGTCTGCGGACTGAAAGGTCCCAGGTTTGATTCCGGTCAGGGGCATGTATATTGGTTGCCGGCACATCCCCGGTAGGGGGTGTGCAAGAGGCAGCTGGTCGATGTTTCTCTCTCATCAACATTTCTAGCTCTCTCTCTCTCTCTCTTCCTCTCTGTAAAAAATCAATAAAATATATTTAAAAAAATAGATTCCATATAATTCTCTACATACATAAACAATGTTATTATCTGTGAATAGGAAGGACATTATATTTCTTCCTTTCCAAACTAAATACATTTTATTTCTTTTTCTCACCTTATTACAACAAGCTAAGACTTGCTTTTTTAGCACGTGATGTTATATTTTGCCGAATGCTTTTTCAACATCTACTGATATACTGATCATGCTTTTTTCTTATTAAGACTAGAATTTCTCAACCCCAGCACTTTTGACATTATAAGCCAGAAAATTCTTAGCCATTATGGTGGGTTATGCAACAAAGAATGCTGAACATTCTATGGCCTCTGCTGGCTAGATGCTAGTTATTCATTATGCTATTGTGAAAACCAAAAATGTCTCCCGACACTGCTTCATGTCCTTTTGTGTAACACAATCACACCCAGTTAAAAACCACTGCTTTAGACCTGCAATACAGTAGCATGCATTGATTGGTTTTCACATACTGAATGAGGAAAGAAAAACTCCATTTGGTCATGATTGTTAATTTTTAAGTATTTTAAAATTTGTCAATATTTTGTTGAGGATTTTTGCATCTATCTATTAGAATACAGGTTTATAGTTTTCTTCTTTTTTTGTGTAGTTTTGAAGTTACGGCATTGCTGGTCTCATCCTAATAAATAAATGCCCGGAGTTTAAAAAGTAGCAACAGCATAAGTGTCAGACACTTTTGCCACCATCTATGCACAAATCACTCACATCAACATTAAAACATAAAGTATTACTAAAACATACCTTAAAAGAATGAAGAAAAGCACTTCATTGTCAAACACTACATATTAACTATGATTTCATCTATCTAAAGCATTTTTTTAAATCTAAGAAACAAACCATATTTAATTTATTCTTTAACAAATAAAAATCACATATAATTATTGACAGTTTTTATTAAAGCTATCAAATTTCACTTTGGATGGAAGTGAAACATCTGCATAAGAACTTGAACACATTCTATACCATATTAATCACCAAAACAGATAAAAGATTTGAAGATTAAATAATAAAACTCAAAACCTATTAAATAATAAAGCTCAAAACCTAATAATGTCCTTTCATACAACAAAGGTAAAACATAAAAAGCCCACAGGTGAACTGAACAAGAAATGTAGGACCCAGATAAAAAACAAAAACCAAAACAAAACAAAAACCTAATCAACTTGAATAAATGTCATGATATACCAACCACACCCCCAAAAAATATCATCCTACGTTTATTTATTTAATAAAGCATTTACTCTTCCTCATAAATATTAAAATCCTTTTCAAATCCTAAAACATTATAGTTTTGATCAGAATTATATTAGTTTAGAAAAAAATAGTCCTAATTAAAAAAAAAAAGAGGGTATTGATTTTTTCAAAAGGTTTACAATACTATTTTAGTGAAGAATATTAGCCAAGATATTTTGAAAAACAGTGAGGGTTTAACTGATAAACTTTGTTAATAAATTTTGTTATAAAGTTACAATTACAATATAAGAACAGAAAAAAGTGTAGAAAGAAATCTAAGTATATAAAACCTGAGTTTTAGTAGGCTTTAACTATTTGAAGGAACACAGAAACTTACTTTAGAAATTATAGTTAACATAATTTAAAGATTAAAAAGGAAATCATTCTTAAAAGCTGATGATTTTTAAAGTAAAAAATGTTAAAATTTAGGAATAGATATTTGCAACAGATGTCAAAACTATACAACTATAATAGAAATATAATAAAAATATCAATGAATATATTAGGAGCTCATATTGAGCAATACAAAATACACCATAGAAAAATAGGCAAAAATGTTAACTGAAAAAAAAAAAAAGAATATGCTAATACCAATTATTATATGAGAACAAAAAAGATCAACATTCAGTAACCAAAGAACTGTAAAATAAAAACATGATACCATTTTCACTTATCAAATTATTGGTTTTGTGTGTTTTTATGGCAATGCCAAAGGATATGGAGAAATCAAGAAAAGTATTCTCATTCTGCACTGGCATTCTGAAGGATAAGTTGCTTTAAATTCAACTTAAGAAAATGTGAATTTGATGAAAGAATAACCTGAAAGTTAACCTGTATTAACTGCAGATAAAGAGAGTAACAGATTATTAATATAATGAACAGCCCTGAGTTTGAATTGCATATTAAGGAGCCACTGAAGAACTTCTATGGCCACCTATGGAAGGAAGGTGAACCTTCACAGAGTTTGCCCTATGTCTCATTTGGCTTGTCCTGATTTGTGTCATTTATAAGTTCTAAGAATGTGCTTTCCTGAGTTCTTTGAGTTATTGTATTGAGTTACTGAACCTAAAAAAGCTATGGGAACACTCAAATTGGTAGCAAGTTGGTAGAAGAGCAGATGGCCTGAAAACTCCCCACCCCCCAAATGAGGGAGTAGTGCCCGAGATGAGGATAGTCACGTTAGAGACCCACCTCTGCGCCTTTAAATTGTGGGGTCTGTAATTGTGAATGATTAGTGTCAAAACTGAATTATACTGTATCAATATCCCATTACTAATATATCTAAAAAAGATTGAAAAGATATAACTTTATTAATAGTGATCTTCCTTCCAAACTGTTCGGACTATTAGTGGTCTTTATATACTTTTCAACACAGTTGATAAAATATTTAAACAACCCGTTTTCAAAGTTAAACAAGGATAATTTCATTGGGAAACTTACCTTTTTGAGCTTTAGCTGTTATTTCAAAATATTTGACAGTAAGATCTTGAATAGAGAGCACAGCCATGTGAGCTTTCCGCTGCCAATCAGCATCTTCTTTTTGTAAACTTTCAATTCTTCGGGGACCCAGATAATCATTCTCCATGGAAATCTTTAGAGAGAGAAAAAGAAAAATTAAGTTCTGTCCAGCCGGTGTTGCTCAATGGTTAGATGTCATTCCATTAACCAAGAGGTCACTAGTTCGATTCTAAGTCAGGATACATGCCCTGATAGATACATGCCCTGATTGTGGGCTCAATCCCCAGTAGGAACTTTGCAGGAGGCAACCAATAGATGACTCTCTCTCATCATGGAAGTTTTTCTCTCTCTAACCCTTTTCCATCCTTTCTCTAAAATCAATAAAACAAAACACTTTTAAAAAGTTATTTTCTTTCTTTGATTCATTTCTTAAACATTTACTGAATGCTTACATCAGGCACTGTGCTTGATTCTAAAACAAGGAATACTTGTTTCCCCCTGCTTTAGAGTGCTAACTATTAATTAATAACACAAGAAAATTAACAATGATCAGTAAATGGTGTTGGGAAAATTGGACAGATACACAAAAATAAACTCAAAATGGATAAAGGAGTTAAACTTAAGATGGGAAACCATAAAAATACTAGAGGAATCCACAGGCAGCAAAACCTCAGACATGCTAAAGCAATGTTTCTCTCTCTTTCTCTCTCCTCCTTTCTTTCTCTCTGAAAGCAATAAAAATGTGGTTGTTTTTTTTTTTAAATGATGAGACTAAACAGTGGTAATGGCGAAAAAGATACACACTTATACACTACTAGTGAAACTATACAATGATTAAAACTTTTTTGGGGAAGTATTTTATGATACCATACTTTTTGAAGATATTTAAGACAATACCTTCAAAAATAATAACCAGAGTGTTCATTGCAATATTGTGCAAAGATATAATAATTTCAATTACATAAAAGAATATCTAGGGGGAAAAAGACAAAACACATAAGGTGTATTGTGTATTATTATATTATTGATTTTGGTAGTAAATTATTGGTAATATTTTTCTTCCTGTTTAAAATCTGCACTTTCCAAATCTTCTTTATTATACGTATCTTTTATAAGCAAGAACAAGAAAAAAATGCTTCTATCTTTTCTTGGGTTCACACATCATACCAACTAGACAGGCTAAAGACACACTATCCCAGGGCTTTCCTGTTTCTAGTCAAGCAAACAATGAGTTCATGTTTTCATAAATGAGGCCAAGGAAGAGGCAAAATTATGAGACCTCTTTTTCCCAGTGCAGTGGTCGGCAAACTGCAGTTCTCAAGCCACACGCGGCTCTTTGGCCCTTTGAATGTGGCTTTTCCACAAAATACCATGTGTGGGTGCGCATGTACAGTGCAACTGGAACTTCGTGGCCCATGCGCAGAAGTCGGTTTTCGGCTCTCAAAAGAAATTTCAATCATCGTACTGTTGATATTTGGCTCTGTTGACTAATGAGTTTGCCAACCACTGTTCCAGTGTATGGGGCAGGGATAGGAAGTAGAGATATATATATGTTCAGAACATAAATGTCTTCCTTATTAATTTGGAAACAGAATTATATAAACTCCACTTCTGAGACTATAAAAATAGTTACCAAGCAAAGACAAGCCAGTAGCAGCAGCTAGGACTCTTGGACTCTTGATATCCAATTCCATACTCATCCAGACTAGTCTTTTTTTTTGTTTGTTTGTTTTTAATTCTCAGATGATTATTGTATCTCCAGTTTCAAACTTCAGGAGTCAAACTTAAATGATGCTACTAGTGGATATGGTTGGGTGTTTTTTTTTTCCTTTTAGATTTTCCCATGGCTAATATTTGGAAATCATCTCAATTATATAATTTGAATGCAGAGACTACTGTACTAGGTGCTTTAGAGGAAATATATGAGTAATATGCATATTGTCTTCCCAAGAAACTTACAATCTAATTGAGGGTGGGAAGAAAGAGAGATCTGTGATGAAGAAGTCTGTTTTGAAATGAGGAGACTAGTTCTGCTGTGAGACCTTTAACAAAGGTCTCAATTATTCATTCAAAATGATCATGTATGATATCTATTCAGTGCCAGTATTGTAGTAGGCACCAGAGTAACAAGATATTCAGCCTGGTGGAGGACATAAATACCCAAGTAAAGAATTACAATCCTATATAATAAAAGGCTAATATGCAAATCAACTGAACAGCTGAATGATATTGCTATGACATACACAGAACACCAGGGAGCAGACACTCAATGCAGGAGCTGCCCCCTGGTGGTCAGTGTGCTCCCACAGGGGGACTGCCGCTCAGCCAGGAGCCAGGCTCACAGCTGGTGAGGGCAGCTGTGGTGGCAGGAGCCTCTCTCCCGGGGTGGGACAAAAGGGGAGCGGGCCTAAGCTGTCAGTTGGACATCCCCTGAGGGTTCCTGTACTGCAAGAGGATGCAGGCCAGGCTGAGGGAACCCTTCTTCCCCCAAGTGCACAAATTTCAGCACCGGGGCTCTAGGTTGAGTATGAAAAATGTCATGATAGAGTATGCTTAAGATACCATGGAAAGCACCAGCTGTGGAGCTTAGGGTGCAAAGTCTGGGCAGACTTTCTAAAGGGAATGATGAATAAGTAGCATTTTGGCCAGATATTATAGATGGCAAACAGTGTCTCTGTGTAAAAAGGAATAAAAGTGTTTTAAATTCTTTAAGAAATTTTAAAGGTTTGGTGAGAGAGAACTTAGCTATTTATAGGGAGCAGGGTGAGGGGATAAATGGTAATGGAGGAAAATAATAATGAAAAAATCACTACAAAAAAAACTGAACTTATTGAGGTTCATAACTGCAGAAGCTTTGGACGCTGGAGGAATAGGATTTTGACAGGTACAGATGGAGAAATAGAGCCTCCTTTAAAAGGCATGCTGGAAGCAAGAATTAACCTGAGCACTGCCTAGAGGCAGGTATGGTAAGAGACAGACAGCAGTCCAGCCTGGCAGGAGCTTGGGTAAGACTGATAAAGGTGATGGGAGGTAGGAGCAGAAAAGAAGGCTGTGATCACTATGAGCCCTTTGGATGTCAGGCTGAGGAACGTTACTTAATTTGACAGGAAACAGAAAACCTCTGTGGGATTCTTGGCAGTAGGAGGCATATTTAGACTACAGCTTTGATTTAAGGGTTCTAAAAGACTTGTTTGCTATTACAAAACCATCAAGGTCTGAACTTTTTGTTGTGATTACTTCTGATTTTAAAACACTCAGGTTAAAAAGTATAAAATTAGAATTCACAATATGGAATAGTAATTTAATAAATTGAACACTGCAGGCAAAATTTTAAACTCTTATTCAGTATATTTTGAATAGAAATCTTTTTCAAAGACTTCATTGATTAAACTTTATATCCTTTAAAGAACTTGTAAGTTTATTTTACCTAAGACCATAAACTAGGTTATTAGATATTTTCCCTAACTTTGAAAATCTGCAATGTATGTAAATGGCTTATCTGTTGGCTCCAAGTTCCACCTTCTGCCCTGTGATGCTAGGGTTCAAGCTCTGCAAACCACATTCAGGCTTTGTCAATAGGAAGGGTGGGAGGAGATTTCAGGGTTGAAGGAGGTAACAGAGATTTGCTTCTTACCATCTGCATCACTTGACTTTACTGTTTGCTTCTTACCATCTGCATCACTTGACTTTACTGTTTGCTTTCCTGTGAGCATCATCCCAGCCTCACTACTTCAACCCAGGCTCTGAAGTTTTTTCCTGAAGCAGTTAACAGAATCCAGTTCCCCAGCTTTCCCACCTTTGCAAAACTAGCTTCATTGTATGCCCCAACCTCCCAGTCCCACCAGCCCACCGGTGCACTATCCCCAGAGAGCAGGTTTCTCCAGTAGAGCAGCTCAAACACCAGCACTAGGTGAGCAATGTCCTCTTCCTCAGAGACTAGTTCCACCAGGACCGGGCCCATCCTCTTTGCTGATTAGATGAAAGTACATCTCTCCAGCACACCCCCACACACACACCTAGGAGTGGTGGCTGTTTTGGCAATTATTAACCCTGATATCTTACAGAGTTACATTTTTGCCTTCTTAATGATCTGGTTAACAACTTTATACCTAATTAACAACTCTTCATATTCAAGTCCCTCTGAATATCTGAAGTATCTGGTTTGATTTTCCAACAGAAACCAGACACAACTATGGAACAGAAATTTAATAAACAGAACAAGCAATGTTCCAAATTCAAAAATCTCAACTCAGATTATTAGCAGAATTTATTTTCACTTGCATAGTTAAACAGTGTACAAAGAAGTGAGAAAATTTGCATTATGACTTATAGAAGAGAAAAAGTTAACAAAAAGTAAATCCAGTCACAATTATTTGAAGATAATTTACACTCTGTTGTTGGATTAATCTTTACCTTCACTGTTCATGTATATTATGCTTTTCAGTGCTGTTTTTTACTGACTTGTGAAATTCAGTAGCTAATGTTTCAGACAACTGTTAAAAATGTGATTACAATTGCACCTAAGACATTAACTGAAGATAGGACACTAAGTTCATTTCCTAACTTGGCAAATTTGAAGATGCACAGCCTTGGTCATCTGGATCATGTGCTGAAACAGTGACACCCCTGTTTTCAATTTCAGAACTAGAAAGAAAACAGTGCCTGTTTTTAGCATGGAAAAAAGAATGTGTCAGTTTAGGTAGCTAGGACAGTGAGACTCGTTTATAAATACAAATTTCTTGGCACAGGATTACTTAGGATAAACACATCACTTGCTTAGATACTGGGTCTTATGTGTTATTCCTATCTATTGTTAGAAGAGTGGAAAAGAAAAAAACAACTCCAATTCTTAGGTGAAACAAATTTTAGTTCAGGAAAGTGGGCAGGGGAATCTCTCACTGTATTTATAATTTTACCGTCTAGGCTGCTCTCCTGGCTACTCAGCAAAATTGTCTTTTGAGATGCTTTAAAATGATTGTTCAGGCTGTTCAGATATAGCCCAAATCTATCAAATTAGAATCTTTGGGGACAAAGAACCAGATATGTACATTTTTAAAAAGTTTCACTGTAATTAAAATGCATGGCCAGCCAGGTTGAGAACTATGAAACAGGCAGGCTACTATTTAGGTTTAAAAAAATACCTTGATCTGCTGTCTCCGTAGCATGGCAAGTTCTCTCATGTCTCGGAATGGCTGTAGTAAATACTGATAGAGTTCCGTTGTGGCTTCTGCAAGGCTGCTGTAGGCTTCATCCTCCATCTGATACAAGTCCAGAAGCTCCACCATGCTCTCTGTATTCTTGTGCTTATCCAAGAGCTGTGGAACAATGAAGTTTTAGTATAAAGAAATCCAATTTTATATGTGTGTGTGTGTTATATATATTATAATAGCATATAAATATTTACTTTTTGCTCCCTATCATGAGGACATGGAAACTCTGAAACACAGAAGCAAGAGGGAACAAAAAGCTCCAACTGCTCTTTATCCCTCATATCCATGCCTTAGGCCTGAATTATCCTTTTCAAAATGCTTTCACCATATTATTTCTGTTTTCTGCATTTTCTAAGACTCCATACTACTTATTTGTTTAGTTAACTCTTTAGAAAAGTTTTCCATGGTCTAATACCTTTCCCCATATTTATTTTCAAAAATTTTTCTTGCTAATCTACAAGATAACTATCAACTCTTGCCAATGTTATTTTACTAATTTCCCCAAATCTTCTTGTCACTCCTTTCTTCCTCCCAATTTGGAACTCAATTTAACTTTCTTTGTAACTCATGTTTGTGTATTTATACTCATTATGTGTATTTATATTCATTCATTCATTCATTCATTCCTCAATAAATATGGGCTGAGTATCTAAAATATTAGGCAGTGGGCATACAAAAAAGCATGGTCCCTTTTCTCATGGAGTTCACAGTACTTCTCCATTTTAAAACATTATACAAGAAAGAAACCTAGCCCTAGCTGGTTTAGCTCAATGGATAGAGCATCTGCCTGCAGACTGAAAGGTTCCGGGGTTCAACTCTGGTCAAGGCCAGGTACCTGGGTTGCAGGCTCCTCCCTGGCCTGGGCCCTGGTCAGCGCTCATGCAGGAGGGCAACCAATCGATGTTAACCTCCTTTTTCACATGTATGTTTCTCTCTCTCTCTCCCTCTCTTCCACTCTCTCTAAAAAAATCAATGGGAAAATATCCTCGGATGAGGACTAAAAAGAAAAAGACATAAGAAATATAGCCTAAGAGAAAAAACACACAATATGTACACTAGAATATATATATATATATATATATATATATATATATATATATATATATATATATAGTATATGTGGGTTGTTTAAAACATAGGGAGTATCATTGTCCTATATATATTTGTACATATGACTGAATCTGAAAATACACAAGAAACTCTTATGGGTAACTACCTCTAAGAAGGGGAACCATAGACAAGGAAATGAGGGTAGGAGGAGAGAAGATTTACATTTCAATTATACTTTTTACAATCATAATCTATCAAGTGAATACATACTTTTTTTTTTTTTTAGAGAAAGGTGTGTTTTTTAATTGAATAACATTATGTAGGTTTCAGGTGTACATTATTCCCTTTACCTATTTTGCCCCGCCTCCCGCCCCCACCACTCTGGCAACTACCAATCTGTTGTCTGTTATCTATGAGTTTGTTTTTATTCTTTCATTTCTTTATGTTTTCTGTTCCACAAATAAAATCATGTTTTTGTTTTTTTATATCTCTGATTTATTTCACTTGGCATTAATACCCTCAAGATACATCCGTGTTGTCAAAAACGGCAATATTTATCTTTGTATGGCTGAGTATATATAGCTGACCTTATGAAGCTGAAAATATGTGTATAACTTAAGTAGACCCTCTGTATATGCAGATTCCCAAACTTAGATGGAAAATACTGTTTTCGATCTGTTGCTGAGCGAATCCACAAATTTGAAACCAGGAATGTGGAGGGCCAACAGTATATTTATTGGAAAAATCTCCTTCTATAGATGGACCCGTGCAGCCCAAACCCAGTTGTTCAAGAGTTAACTGTATATACCACATCTTTAACTATTTTGTCTATTCTTTATCTATTCTATTGATGGACACTCAGGTTGTTTCCATATCTTAGCTATTTTAAATAAGGCTGCAGTGAACAAAGGGTACATATATTTTTTCAAATTAGTGCTTTCATATTCTTCAGTTAAATACCCGGAAGAGGAATTGCTAAATAATATAGTTCTATGCTTAATATTTTGAGGAACCTCCATACTGTTTTCCACAGTGGCTGTACCAATTTACAATCCCACTGACAGAGTAAGAGGGTTCCTTTTTCTCCTCATCTGCTCCACTTGTTATTTCTAATATTTTTTATAATAACCATTCTAACAGGTATGGGGTAATAACTCGTGGTTTTGATTTTCATTTCCTTAATAATTAGTGATGCAGTACATCTTTTCATGTGCCTGTTGGCCAACTGTAGATCTTAAGAAAGGTTTTATATTCTATCTATTCTGCACTTACCCACACACAAACGTATTTTGGCTTACAAATACAACTTTTCCAAAAGATAAGGCATAAGAAATAAGAAAATACTACATACTTCTCTTTCTGGGCCCAGCTACCTATTATTCATAAGTAGATAAATCTTGTATTGAATCAGCTGCATTACGCGATAATTGAAAGTAGTATTATAAAAGGAATAGCAGCTGTATGAATGATCAATTTATAATTACAGCACTTTTCTCAAGTCCCAGAAATAAATTCTAACTGGTGGCACAGGTACTCACTTCCAACACAGCTTTACCATCTCAAGACTACAGCTATAGGAAACATACGTACTAACCAGATTAAAGAAGGATAGAACAAGAAAACTGTGTTTTAAAAAAATGCACAATTAGTCCTTACAATGAATTATAAACTGTTTATAGTTTTAAAGGCAATAGTTCTCTCCTTACAAGAAAATGTACATTCACAGAAACCCTTTATTTTTTATTCCACTTGAAATGAAAAACATTAGAGATTATTTTCTATGAAGTTTTAGGAATAGCAGAAATTAAAAGAATGAGGGGGGAAAACAAAATAGTAGCAACATTCCTCAGTTGTAAAGTTCCCCCGAGTCACTGAGAAATGATTGAATGCCATGATTCAACAGTAAGACAATCCTCAGACACAGGGTTTCTTGGCGCTCTTCTTACAGAGACACTGAAGTAAATGTTAACACAACAGAGTAGATACTATTTTCTGCCAAAACAAAATCAAGTCATTGTATGTTTATTAAGTCACAGTTCCCCTCTACACAACTATATGCAATGAAAAAGAAAGAAAATCAACTATTCTATTTAAATATTAACACATTTATATATTATTTCCCACATGCTTTTTATTCTCAAACAGAACAGTACAGCACTTTACAAAGCTATTATGCAGCAACTAAACTTAATACTCTTGCAGAGAAGTCCAAGGCATCTCACCTAACACTGCTAATTTATTAATTTGTCTTCTTTGCTATAAAGTTTCATGTTTTCCAACATTAACTTACCTTAAAACCAATTATAACTTCAGTTGGCAATATATTTTAATCTAAGTATCGGCAAATAATGTTTAAGTAAATGAAATGCATTTTAAAACTTCAAAAGATAAAGTTTACTAATAACACCAGACTTTTTTTTTAGACTTTTAGACTCTAAACCATTTCCTATAATCCCTGATAAAAGAATTCAACTGGTAAAAGAACATAACCACTAATCTGTTATAATAACAATTTAATTTTCTATTTTGCTAACCCAAACTGACGAAATCTAGAAAATAAACTTGAGCTGCTGACATTTCAGATCATATAAACTATGAAATGTGTAAGGTGCTTTAGATATTGCACATAAAAAAAAAAAAAAAAAAAAAGTAGAAAGAAGCCCTAGACGGTTTTTCTCGGTGGTTAGAGCAGCCCATGCACTCAAGTATCTAGAGTTCAATTCTGGTCAAGCCATGTACTGTGTTTAACAAACAAATAAACAAACATTAGAAAAAGAATTAGATTATTTGGAATTAAGATTGTCCTCCCTTCCTCGAAGCCCCTCCGACCACCTTCCCTCTTTTCTTTCTCATGGTGGAAACCTGGGCCTCGGACCTACAGAAGTCCATCGAAGTGGTGTTCAGCCCCATCACTTCTCAGCTGAACATACAGCCGCCTCGCATTTCAAGTGGGGCTGTTTTCAAGAAACTAAAGCGCTGGGAATCCACAACTCCCAGCTTCTCCCCTCTGTTTCCTCCTTGGGTCTGTTGCAAAGTTCACCGAGACACAGAAGCAGCTCTGTGCTGGGGGGACAGGATTTTGGGGGGTGAAGGGAGAGATGCACTCAGGTAGCGCCATATCCGAGGTCAGGGACACAGGCAGGCAGCATCACATTCCTGGCTAGAGATGCAGCGGGCAGCTTCACCTCAGCGCTGGGCAGGACATTAGTGCTGGGCAGGCCTGGGCTTGCCTCCGCTGGGGGTGGAAGTCCCAGACCCATCCCCCAGCTCCGGTGCGTGCACAACCCATTGACTTATAAAGGACAAATTAACATAATACCTCTTTATTTTATAGAATGTACATAATCAAAGTTTATAAAAAACAAACATCAGCCAGACACTAATTGTTTTTTTTCTGATGAGACATTGATCATGCACTTTAATTTGACAATGATTGAGTTGTTTATCAGCCTCACTCCTTTTCTATGGGATGATGATAGCACAGTGGTTAAGAAAGCAGGTGGGAATCCGTCAGGCTTAGATTTGAATCAGGTTCTGTATATCAGTTATGTTGAACCTATTTCCTCTACTGCAAAATCCCTACCTCTTGGGTTGAAATGAAGATTAACACAAATAAGAGTTAACATTTACTGTGTCCATACTACCCAAAGCTATCTAGATTCAATGGAATCCCCATAAAATACCAATGGCATACTTCAAAGATCTAGAACAAACTCTCCAAAAATTCATCTGAATAAAAAAAGATCCCCAATACTAGTAGCTGCAGCAATCTAGAGAAAGAAGAAGAAAGTGAGAGGGATCACAACAACAGATATCAAGCTATATTACAGAGCCACTGTTCTCAAAACTGCCTGGTACTGGCACAAGAACAGAGATATACTATCATAGTAGACCACCAATAGAACTGAACAGAGAAACCAGAAATCGACCCAAGCCATTATGCTCAAACAGTATTTGACAAAGGAGGCAAGAGCATGCAGTGGAGTCAAGACAGTCTCTTCAATACTAGTAAATGGTGTTGGAAAAATGGATGGATACATGCAAAAAAATGAAAT